AACTGAGCACGATCCCAACAGAAACAATCGAGGATCACTCCACACCCCAATGTCAGAATCAAGGGGAACTACAGGTGGATTAGGCAGAAGTTTTGACTAAAAGATTTACTATGAAACTTCCCTAGCTAATTACTTACATTAAAACTAATGTTTCTATATAAGTTTTCTAAAATGTTATATTTGAATATTAAGTGAGGTGTTATCTAGCTTAATAGCATGAAATATTGTACCATATTGAACCTTTCTAACAAGTTCATGTAGGTCTCACATGTCCCCAGAATGTGTGTTTTAGGTTTTAGCTTGAAATACTGCACCTGTCATTTATTCTATCATGTGTATAATAACGCTAGTTGTAGCTCTGTTCCAAAAGGGCTGTTTTAGTGTCTCTAGTTTTAATGTGATCTTCTGCTGCCCTCATTCCTGCCAGGGCCACCGGCACACCTGTCTCTGCATCCTTTCGGTTCAGTGGCCCAATCCCAGTATCCAGTGTAGGGCCTGAGCACTAAATCCTCACAGACCTAACTGACATCCCAGCTGAAGTGCTTGAATGTGATCACTCCCTATTCTTCACGTTATCAAGTTTTTACATTTCATCAAACAACCAAAAGTCAGGAATCAGCATTACAATTACAAGTAAATCCTATGTCTGACTAACAATGCTTAAAGCTCTACAAAATGTACAATAATTAACCACAACAGTGAGCATCTACATGCTGTCCTTTACTAAACTTCCAACCAGAATCCTCATGCACTTGACAGTTTAATAGTGGGATTGCCCTCAGCATTGAACACAATCACACCTCAAAGTCAATAGGCTCATCTCCTCACCTTGACTCCTCAATTCTCAGTCCTGTGCCCCGCGACTTGGGAATGATGTTTGGTGCATCATAACAAAGAATGTCTTTCTCTTCTAAATTTCTACCTTGAGAAGTGTGGATCGAGGATCAAGGAGACTTGCTGGAGGAGCTCTAAGCGAGGATGCTCAGGTGTAGTAATGAAGTCTTTTCTGCTTCTATGACATAAAAGAGGTTTAAGAACAGTTGAAATCTATAGACTATGTCAGCAACAGGACTGACAAATGTGTATATACAACATTCAATATGAATATATGTCACTCTTTATTATATAGTATTATTTTGTGTGCCACCACTATTTTGTACTTCACAAAAAACAATCTGACATCTGTAAATTCTCATCCCATTCTACTGTGACTTAATTTTGAAGTACAAATATACATCCATCCATTATCTATACACCGCTTAATCCTCACTAGGGTCACGGGGGGTTGGAGCCTATCCCAGCTGACTTAGGGCGAAGGCAGGGGACACCCTGGACAGGTTGCCAATCTATCACAGGGCTACATTCACATTCACACCTACGGACAATTTAGAATCACCAGCTAACTGCAACAAAGATCCTGGGACACGAATCAGTGGCCTTCTTGCTGCAAGGCTACAGTGCTACCAACTGTGCCACGCTGAAGCCTAAGTACAAATATATACTATATATTATCATGGCCACTGTTCTGTTCACCTGACTGAGATTATAAACAGTGGTAGATTATAGTAGAACAGTGGACAGATGATGCTGCTGTGCCAAACGTCACATTTAATTTTGCTTTAAACTCACTCTAAGGTAAGAATGTCTTATTTTGTTAAAAACCTTGAGTCCTCTCTGTTTTGTACCTCCTCTGCTCAAATCTCTGGTGGGAAGCACTAAGACGCAAAGAGAGAAGTCAAAGGAATTGAGGACGTGCATTAGTCAAATGGGATAAGGGTACAAGTCAGTGAGTGTGGAGATGTGAACTGGGCCAGTGAGTGGCAATCAGGAGCCCAGTGGAGGAGGAGCCTGAAGGACCTGCAGCTTGCCCTGTTGTGACATCACAACAGGCTACCAACCTGAACAGCTCATTCCAGCACACACTCTCACCAGTGGAGAAGAGAAACAAATGAAGGGATGGCCTTTGCTCATCTATAACTACTTACTGATTTATTTATTTTTTATTTTTTTTGGGGGGGGGGGGCATTGGTTCCCCCCGCATACAGTGCATAGTACAGTGGAAAATGTTTAATATGTCCTTTGCTGTGAACCCTGTCAACAGATCTACCTGCTGTTAGTTTCTATTTGTTCAGTCAATTATGTCTAATATGGGGCGCCGCTATAGCTCACCTGGTTTAGCTGGCATCCCATGTGCAGGGCTACAGTCCCAAGGTGGAGGTCATGAGATCGAATCCCGCTCATGGCCCTTTCCCACATGTCCGCCCCCCATTCTTCTCCCCTACTTTCCTGTCTCTCTCTCACTGCACTGTCCAACAAAGGCCAAAAGAATAACTTTAAAAAAAAAAAACTATGTCTAATATGGAAAACGCAAGTGTGTGACAGTCTTCTCAAATGATACACTTGTTTGCAACAACAGTGAGCAAAACAGCTGAGTATGGTGTCGAAACCTGCTATTGTAAAATCCATACATTTTTATTAGAAAAAACTTCTTAAAAGATATCACTATGAAACACACCCATTTGATTACAATGTAAAGAAAAATACAAATATAAAATCTGTCTTATTAAAGACACTTGACTCCTGGCTCACACTGGTATAACTTGAAGGTCCTGGCTTCGAATCGCAGCTGGGTCTTTCTGTGTGGAGTTCACATGTTCTAATTGGTAGTAACTAGTTCTTTTACAATGTGTGGCCCTAAAACTGCATTTTTCCTGTATTTAAACCAGATAAAAAATATAATTTTAACATATTTTTTTCTTCATTTTTTACAGTTAATGATCAATACAGTATTCCAACAGATTTATGTTTTTCACAGTATACTCACGTAAACTTTGTTACCTAAAGTTTTCTGAAATTCAGCTTAAATGAGGCAGTATCTCATTAAATATACACTAATTCTGAATGAAGACATGCTATAGAAGCAAATAGCCAAAAATCTCAATAATCCTGACCAGCCCAAAAAAGAAAAAATGAGGGCATTGCTTCTAAAGTTAGTGAGCATACCTTTGGTGAGATTTTCAAAACTGAGGAATGTCTTTCACAAAACCCAGCATCACAGGAGCTGATCTTCTCACCTTTCTTTACCATGTAACCTTAGCTTCAGCTAACTACCTGCTTAGCTATGCCTGCTATGTTGAATAACACACAAATTATCCAACATTATTGATAAGTCAGTAATGATGATTCTGGACAGCTGGTGTTCATAGAATAACCACACTTTTCCTCACATTTGGCCACCAAAAACTATACCTCCTTAAATCTGCACAAATCTCTGTGACTTACTGTCATCTTGAAACAGCAAATTTCACTGAGTGTGCATCACGGTTATTAAATTTTTTTGGTACATCAAATGCTAAAAAAAAACCCCAGCATACTATGAATGCTGATACTGTTTCTAAAAGTAAAATATTACATTTCCAGAGTGCCCCTTTAATGTTATCTTAATACAAACGGCTGTACAAGAATCCTTACATAACCCCAAAAATACTGTCTAAAATCTGTTATTTTTAGGGAGTGACTGCAGACACATCGTAGGACTTGGGCCAAAAACTACTACGTATGATGCTACAGTCACATTTTAGTTAGTGCTCAAAATACACTAAGGTTATTTACCCAGTGTTTACTGCAGATGTAAGACAAACCTTCACAGGAGTGCATATTTGGAAAAAAAAAAAAGCAGTTTTATTGCCAGAATAGAAGGCAAAATGCATTCCTACTTATGTGACTGTACAGTGGGAGAAGTGGAGGAAATTTACCACAAAAAATTTTATCTGGAAAAAAAAAAACATATAAAAAGTGAAATGTACAACAAGGTTTGCAGTGAAACAGTTGGAGCGGCTCATGGGGCAGAGGTGTGCTCTTCTCCCCTGGGTAAAGTCCTTGTAAAGGATTGTCTCTGGTATGTGGAATGCTCTGCTGCGGCGTGTCCTGCTGCTGCAGCTGCTGCTGCTATACAACAGCGTACTGCTGATACAGCAGCTCCCGGATCTTATAGTAGTCGTCACATAGGCAGCCTTCCAGGCCAATGCGTCCGGCCTCCGTCTGGACAGAATACAAAAAAGATGGACAGGTCATAAAGGTCCTCACACAACAAGGCCGCACCTTTAAACATGACTCACAAGCTCCAAGTACAGCACACTGCTGACCTCTAAAATCAATGTGTTCCTCATTCCTTCCTCTATACAGACTTGGGATGAAAGTTTCTAATGAATCCGCATCAAGATCTCCCAGTTAAATAACACATGCACACACACACACAAACACAGGCTCCTTGAACAGTCCCAGCTCTCTTTGATTTCATTTTCTGGGTTGAATCTATTTTAAGTTCTTGTCAATTATGCAGCTTGTTGTTACTATCCTGACTCGCTCCTATTTTTCCTTTTACTTTCGTTGTTAAGCGTTGCCTGTGATTCTTTTTTTTTTTTTTGTATTACTTCTGAGGTGAGATGTATTTATTTGCCTCTAGAGATTTTCGATCCTACTCTGGCAGGCCGTATTCTTTTCTCCTTGTGTTAATTGTTTTAGTTTGTATTTAGTGTTGGTATTTTATTTCATTGTGTGTAGGTAAATGAAAAGATTTCGTTTTCAAGTTAGTCTTCAAACAAAAGCCAGGTTCTCATAAGAACACTGACAATGTTTTCTTGCTGTAGATGGTTCCCCTGTTCATTCAAATACCTGCTAACACACACACAGGGAGATGTACAAGCAATGTCGACGTCTTATTGCTGACTCCAGACTAACATGTTGTATTTCATACAGCCCCTTAGACGCTTGTTCACTGCACTGAGAGGCTACGCTAGTTTGGGATAGGAATCCATCATCAAACAAAGGGGGAAGCTCACTGTTTGGTGCTCCTTTACAATGTTAGCATGTCTCAGTGGGATGGCTCGCAGTCAGCAGAATCTAAGGCAATAAATGCTCATGCCACGTACATTTCCTGTGCCCATTTGTTACGATGATAAATTTGAGCAAGTTGTTTCCGATGCCAGAAGCACAGTGTCTAAATTGAAGATTCTATACAGGAGATATATTGTTCCCCAAGACAAAGGCCCCTGCCTCCAGTAAAAAGTTTTTTCTTGTTAACATGTCCATATTGTGCTTTTTCATGCTTTTTTAAAATTACGAGCATTTCTACCTTGAAAACTGCAGTGTGTTGTCTCAAAAAAGAACTGTGCAGAGTTACATCTAAGCCATTTCAAGGTAGAAAAGGATTATTACCATGTAAAATTGTAAAGAACTTTATGTAACTGATGCACAAAGAGGTTTTAGGGGTTTACTCAACATCCAGAGAGGGACTTCAAACTTAGTTAGAGGTATCTTGTCTGAACACTTCATTCTTGTATGCATTTTACACTTACCACATACATGTAACAATTAGGAAAGAAAACAGAAGCTCAAAAATATTTGATTGCTAGGTTTTGAAAAAAAAATAAATACGTTGTACGTCTTCTGCACTGGTCACTTTCTGTGTTGAGGGCTACTGGTGAGGGCCGTTGCTGATGGATAACACTCACCCTGCGGACGGCAACCATGTTGTTGCACACCAGCACTCCTCCCACAAACTCAGCCTGGATGCCTTCTCTCAGCAGCACCTGCTTGAAGTCAGACAGACGAGGCTCGTTGATGAACACCGACTGATGTCCAGGAATCTAGAGGGAGAATGGAATAAGGTGCTGGTCAGACTGTTTCTCAAAGGGCTGTCAGAACTGCTAATACGTGCTTTTTGACACATGATATCAGAATCATATTACAATCCTTTCTCAGGAGGCCAAGATTCTCGTGGTTATCTGTTTAGAAGCGAACACTTCTGTGTCTCACCTTGTTCAAACTGCCCTCGAACATGACAATAACAGTTTTGGTCTATTGGCCGCAGCAGCTACTGGGAAATAAACCCATCTGCTCACATTGTTTTATGTGCATGACAGTAAAGACACTTGAAATGAGGTTACCACTCAAATTGAGCAGTAGAAGAAACTAAGTCTTCCAGTCATGAAATCTCTCCAGGCTGAATAAAAACAAAGCATGCTCTTTGGCTTTGTTCCCACTTCATTATGAGCCAGTCAGTCAGAGGTGGGACAATCCACTGATATCACATTGCTGTGTTGAAAGAAACACTTTCAACACAAATAATCATTCTAAACACAGTGGAGAGAATATTTAGGCTTAGTACCAATAAATGTGGATATTTCATTTTTAAATATTTCCCCAAACCCTAAACTAATACTCAAAAATGATAATGTATCATGGCAACAACTTTCAAGACAGTGAAATTTCTGTTTCTTGTCTCACCTCGTGTGGAGGCAGCGGCTCCAGCGTGGGAATCACATCGCTCTCTTCAGAAAACTCCTTCTCGTCCTCTCCGAACAGGTTCTTCATGGCACGCTGTGTCGCCACCGCCGTGGCATTCTGGTCGATGCCCAGATCAGGTGTGATGTCCATGGCCAGCTCGCCATCTTCTGCTTCTTCTTTCACACCCTCCTCCAGCATCACACCAGTATCCACCTTTACCACACGCATGTCCAGCACGCCATCGATCCACGCTAGCTCTGTGTCTTTGGCCTTGCAGAACTGCAGAGAGCTCACCAAGGAGTCTTTTAACCGCACCTTCACCATGAGAAGATGAGACAAGATGAACACATCGGCCAGTTTTAGGGGGAGTTACACTTACAGTTATAACACGTTGGCTCCACTGCAGAGGGACTGTAAAATTAAAAGAAATGGCCTGACAAAGAGATTCGTCAGGTTTTAATGCTCACAGCAGGTTTCTGATTTATGACTAACACATTTACAATTTTGTATACCTACTCAAAAAAAAACAAAGACAACTGAACTGAAAACTAAACAGGTGTTTACTGAGGCCTACCTGGTAGATGTGAGTTTCACTGGTGGCATCAACAGTTTCCTGCAGTTTGGGTGTGTACACTTTGAGGTCTTTGCTGAAGGCCTTGCAGGACTCCGCCAGGTCCAAACTGGCTTCTGGTGGCCCATGAACAATCACTAGCTGTCTGGGTTTCATCTGATTAATAATCTTCTTTATAGAGTCTCCATCAGAGCGACCTTCATAGTCTATGTACGTTATCCTTGCTCTGTTAAGACACAAAGACAGGGTCAAATCTTTGAATGCTGCAGATTAGATGAAAGTTGTTAAACACCTGAATTATACAGGACTACGGTAAGTTAAACCTGCAGAGTTCTAGTCATAAGCTCCATTATTATGATAATCACTGACCTAATCTCAAGATTTTCTATATTTGAGATGCATTTGGTGGGAACAACAGAAAGATCCTGGTCCATTGGTTCATCTCCATTAGTCAACCCAGATTCCAATTTGCTCTTCTCCTCCTCTGTGGCTTGCAGCTCAGGAACCAGAAACTCCTCTAGCCTTGAAAAGTGCAACATTCATTTATTGATAATGTCATAGAATATCACATTGTGAGCTTCCTGCATTTGCTAATCTAATGTTCACATGCATCATCACTGTGGTACCTGATGATTTCTCCATACTCGTCCCATTTGATTCTCTCCTCGTGTGTGGGGAACATTGGATATGACTTTTTAGCTTGTTTGAAGAAACTGCCTTTACGGCTTCCTTCACTCTTCATCATTAAATCGTGGTGTTTGGATTTCACAGCAGCTGGTTGGTCCAGGTCATCGTCCATATCACTTTCATCACTAGAGTCCACATCCACCCTACAAATCCACAAATACAAACATTTAGTCTGTAGACATCATTTTAATTCGTCCAAGAGCAGACAACATATTTTTTGATCAGGAGCAAAGTGTAAATGTTGTCTTCACCATGTCATGACTCATCTCCTATTTTTAGATTTCCATTTAAAGAGCCTGTTTTGGATTTGCAACGTAAACCACAATTTACATTTCTGTTAGATGTTTATCCAATTTGCTGTTTTAGCTAAGACTGACTGATCACATTTTTTTACCAAGACAAAAAAAACTAAGCACCGAGTCATCTCACATCTACTGCTACAGAAACTTACTCTTTTGCTTGTTCAAGTTTTTTAGTTGCTTCCTTCTTTATTTTCTCCTTTTCAAGGTATTCTTCCAGCTCCTTGCCTTCAAGCTTCACTCTTTTCCTCACCTGTCACAATGAAAAAGATTAAAACATTGATATGGTGCGAATGACAGAGTGACACATTTTGTTCCTTCCTCAGCTGGGTCTCAACGTGAGAGAAGGGAGCTCCCTGTGGGGAAAAAGCTGCATTAAAGATCAATCAGAAGCCTCTGTCATGGTAAATCAGCACTGTGACTGCTGGTCTCACCTCCAGACACAGCATCTTTTCTCCAGGGTTGTCAATGAGGTAGCGGGCCAAGGTTCCAGGTGTAGTGCGGTAGGTCAGGATGATGGAGTTTTTAGCATTTTGGCACCACTGGATAAAAAGCTCTCTGGAAAATCCAGACTCGAGGTCTGGCTGGCTGCAAAGCACCACCTTTGGGCTGGGCACCCGGGCCAGGTCCGCCAGACTGTGGCACAGGGTCAAGTGTCGGAACTGAAAGGGGTTGTTTCTCTTGTCCTCAAAACACCTCATGAGCTTGTCACTCATCCATTCCACCTACAGAGAATCAGTAGATAATAAAGTATGACAGTTAACAAGCAAAGACGTCTTATTTGCCACTATGTATCTGTGCCGATACTAAGATCAGCTCAGGTTATTTTGTTACTGGCAAACAAAAAGTTCTACATTTTATCAATAGTGATAACCACTGATTGATACCTGGGACTTGGAGAACTCCACCACGTTGTAGCTGACATTGTTGAGCAGAGCTAGAGGGTAAGCTCCCAGCCCTGCATCCTTTGTCCTCCAGATCTGGTCCAGCAACTGAGCCAGCTCCAGCACACGTCCAGCTGTATCCACAGCAATAAGCACATTACCGTCACCACGTAGGGTCTCCATCACATTGGCTACCGGATATAAACAGAGAAATACAAATAAAAATAATACACTCCATTATTTCCCCTTTCCGAGACAATTTGAATATGACAGAGAGAGAGCAAACAGACGGAGGGCAGAGAGAATGTGTAAGATTAGACACAAGGAACATCATGGCAACATGGTGCATGTTTGAGACCACTAGTATATCTTGTACAGTGTTTTTTTTTGTTTACATATATATTATCAATTTGAATGTGCTTATAATATAGTAGTACTGCAGAGTTCTGAGAATAATACTCACTTAACAGCTGCTCATCTCTTTGTTTTCGACGTGGTTGTACATATGCAGCATTGAAGGAGTCTGTGATAAGTAAGGACGGACGACTAATACTCTCCAACGTGCAGCCGTTGAGGTGACTAGAATAGACAGAGTAAAACAGTACATAAACTGAGAACCACAAACGTGCAAATGCAATTCTATTTCATATGCATGAATGGTCTCTTACATTTCTCTCTTATGATTGAAGTCCACAGCGTATATAATCTCCTCCTCCCCATCCTTCACAATTTTCCAAATAGTGCCTCCAATCATGTGTCCGGCTGGAAGAGGAGTGATGGAGAGACCGTGGCCTTTACCTGTCAGGGGAAAAAGATTTTAAAAAGACATTGTTTTATGTCATCCGGAAACTGGGATGACTCCTTACCTATGATGGTCGGCTGTCACTCACCTTTCAGATTTACAATCTGAGAGTATTTCAGCTGCTGGATTTTATCGAAAGCACAGTCCACATCATCAAGGGTGAAGAGTGTGAAATCTTCACTGTTGTTTCGAGACTAAGGTGACAGAAGGGAAGAACATTTAATTATGCAAAACAAGCTATTTTGTAAATACCTTTGCATACATTTCTCACACTCCTCCTTACCTGATATAGATCATACATGAACATCTGACCCATTTTGTAGACAGGAATTGTGGCATAGATGGTGCAGTTAAGACCCAGTTTTCCCACAGCATAGGGCAGGGCTCCAAGGTGTATGGGATCAGGGTGGGACAGAAGCACAGCATCAACCTGGTGGACATATCTGGAGGGAAAAATAAACATCCCACACATTTCAAATCAAAGAACAGAGGGAGGACTGATGTAATCAGATGATGATTGTCGATGGAAACATCAGAAGCACCTCCAAAAACCTCCTGAAATCTCACTGTGATTGGTTTACAGAAATACAAACAAGTCAGTGTATGTTTTTTTTTTTTTACCCTATAGCAGACGGTGTGAAGCAGCCAGACCATTATGTAGTGCAGAATGAGCTGGCTAAGTGACACTCGTGTGCAAGTAAACACAGCTAAGAAAGCCGTAATGGTTATGCACAACTGCAGCCAGTCAGTCCACAAATGTCTTAGAGAACTTAACAAGCCTTTAGTTGATGGAGGTGCACAAAAAGACTTCCAAACATTTACAGAAGATGAAATTTAGTTTGTTGCCTCCAGGTGTTTGTAGGAGTCTTTCCTCTGAGTTTATTGAATACCTGCAGCAGTAGACAGCAGCAGGATCCACATGAGCATCTTGGAAGCAAACTTTAATTTCTCCACACAACACAGAGACAGCATTGATCAGAATCTATCAGCAAAAGACAACGTGTAGCGTTGTTCACGACTAACAGGTGAGCTGTCACACGAACCATCACAAGGCATCAGCTGAAGATAAACCATTTGATACACAGTTGAATCATGAGCTCCACTCACAGTTGGAAATATATTTTCCTGTCACATCAAGTTTTTTTTAAAAACTCACAGAAGGTAATTTGCAGCAGTGACAGTAATGCATGCATGGATGCAATACAGAACTTTATCCCTCTGACTGATAAGACATGGAAAATTGTATCACACATTGACAGCATTTTCAATATTGAAATCATAAATGAACTATGGATGTTTTACCTATGAGTGAACATTTTCCCTTATACACACTACAGCATCTTCTTATTTTGAAGGGTGGTCATCTATATAAGCAACTATCTGTACTTGTATTAGTCAATGCACGTCTGACAAATTGTAAAGAAAGTGTAAAAATACAAAAACACAGTCTATCAGAATGTGATTTGTTAATTCCCATACTGACACAGCTTTAACGAACCTCTAAACTATAACAGCGCAACGAAATTCCTCAAAATTAGTAATGGCATTTGCTTTTGGTGTGTCACCCCAAGGGTCCCAATCGAGGCCACCCCTATGAAACATTTCTGGAAGCACTCCTGCTTACCGTTTCATAGCGTCGATTATGTCCATGGAAAAGTTCTCATCCCAGCCACAGTCCAGGAGAAAGCGAAATTCATCCACCTGCAGCAGGTAGCAGAGAGCGGACTCCTCCTGAACCCCGGACACGGCGGTCAGCTTGATAATGGACGTCATTTTTGCTCAGTTGTCTCGCTGAAATTACAATAAGATTTATATATTATTCTGACCACAAAACAATCCCAGTGCGACCCACTTTAAGTTGTGAGGCTCTTTACTTTTTCGACTGCAACTGCGCACAAAACTCATTCATGGAAGCTGATCGACAAAGAACACAAACAAAACGCAACTGACTTTTAAAATAGCATTTTACGAAATAGCTACCAGCATAACGTTGCATCCGTTTTCACTGTGAAGTGTGTAGTTAGTTCAGCGAACTAAATGGGAATCAAAAAAACGTTGATTGCTTAAATTTAAAAATGCTAGCTCGCCCAACAAATTAGCCGGCAAAGCCTATTTAGCATGCTATGTACGTGTTAGCTTGTGGGTGTAGGGGAATCGACAAAGAAACGTGTGACATACCGTTTAACATAAAACATAAACTCTCCCCGGCCTCTGAGTACAGAAAAACAATTAAGGTGATTTCCTACAATTGCAACATCAAGACATTTTGGCTAGCGCTTATGAACACACTGATGCAGACATGTTTGAAACAGACCCGGCAGACATGTTTGGCGCTGCATCATGTGTCAAAGGGCAAAGGAGCGTACCATGTACAGCGGTGCCAATACTAAATAACTTCTGTCAAAACACAAAATGCCACTTTTTTTCAAAATATATTTGAATAAATTTGCTTTAAAATTATAGAATTAAATTTTTAGAATGTATGTAGTAACACATTTTCAAGGGCAATTGAAGGAATAATGGTGTTTTTATTTAGTAAATGACCACGTATCAGTAGCACAGTTGGTACTGTCCAATGTCCTTGTCTTAGTGAATGAGGAGCTGAAGGCCGCGGGTGGTTGAAAACAGAAGGTAATATTTTAAATTCCCACTGTTGATTCTCTTTATTGTTAGAGCTAGTGCCCTGGAACGTGTTTACTGTACTAGACATACTGTCACTACTTAAACCGACAAGTCTTCTTCTTCCTGTAACCCATTGCTAATACCAGCTAGCTAACAGGTTAGCTCGCCAGTCATTGCTGAATGTGGTGCACTTGAATTTACGAAGTCTGCAGTACAGCTACTGCTTTAGCATTTAGCTCCGTTTTGCGGGCAGATATGTCATTTTATTGTGTACATTGCAAATGGCAGCTACTGTGCTTGTCCTTTAAATGCGAGTTATATCGTAAAGCGTGTCATTATCTCCCTGTCAGACCTTAGCGACAATGAAATACCAAACATGAGTGTCAGGTTGTGTCATGTATAGTTTTGAGGAGGTTCTGTTAATATGATGGAGAAGTAATTGTATTTTTTAAGGAACCCCTAAATCCTTAAAGCAGGTCCAGCGATACCGTTAAGAAGGAATACAACTTTACGATGATTTTTAACTTGTTGTCATGCAGTGACTGACAGTAGCCGACATGACATAGTTCAACTTCTTGTCATGTTAGGATTGTATCCGGTGTTCCCTATTGTGCAAGTGTTGCTTAGTTTTTTATAAAGCGTTGATTGCTTGTGATCACTTGGTCTGCTTTACAGAGTAGCGACAGTAATAGCATGATCTGAACTACACATGTCCGGTTTTTAGACCAGCTGTAAATATTCAGTCAGTGTTTAGCACAATTCTAACTAGAAATGTAAGCTTGGGTTTTTCAACTCAGACTACATAACCGGTGCCACAGCATGTATATTATATTGTCTTTTGATTCTTTTTGTAGGAACCATGGTCAATTTTGCAGCAGCTGTCCGTGAGTATTGGACGCACATATTCGTTCCTATGGGCTTTGTGATTGGATGGTACCTTGACAAACAGCAGGACCAGAAGCTGACAGCTTTCAGGAATAAGAGCTTTTTGTACAAAAGGTAAGAAAAAGTTATTGATCATCATGTTAGTACAAAACAAGTACGGGGGGGATTTTAACATCATGTGAGGATGTCTGTTACTGTGCATCCATTTGACAAAAGTTTTTTAGTGCAGGGAATTTTTTCAAGTCAGGAAATATCACATTGACAAAGGGAATACTTGGGAGTTGCAGATGGAACAGTAAACTATCTGTTATTCTACTTTGGAAAATCCAGTGATAAGTATTTGATACATCTGAGATGATACCTACTTCAAATAGGAACTGTAACATGAATTTAGCCTCTATTTTTTGGTTTGACTGAGCCAGAACAGAGCTCAGTGCACTTCAAATGTAAATACAGTTAAAAATGCCCTTAAGATGTGTTTAATTATACACACAAATACTCAGATTTGAATAAGATGGTTTTTAATAAAAAGGTTTGGTTATCTGGTGAGAAATTACTCTCGTTGAAAAACTCCAGATGCTATGAATATGCTATTTTTCAACTTGAAAGCTTAACCATTGGACATAATCCTCCTACATTAGTGGAAGTATAATCTTCATCTATGTGCAAAGCAGACTTCTACATCACACATTTGTATTGGACCAGGGTTGGTTTCCAAAGTACATGCCTTAAACTCAGATTTTAGGTGAGCTCAGAAAAACTTTCCACTTTCAGCAAATACCCCTGACAGTCTCTCAGCATTAAACTCAAACTTCATTCTATCCAGTGAAGGTCAAACATCCACTCATCGTAACACTGACCAGAACATGCTTTTCAGTGGAGGGGGACCAACTGGGGAAATATTGTGTATTTGATTATGATAGAAAATATTCCAGTCAGGATGAGTCTATTCAGTATTTCAAGTCAAATTTAGAAGACTGAATTGCCTGGAATTACAGTAACTTTATCCCAACTGAGGCCAGGGCACAATCTAATGAAACTTTTGATTTTTCTTCCTTGTAGGGAGCTGAAGCCAGGCGAGGAGGTGACCTGGAAGTAGACGCTCCGCTACTTGAAAAGCCCTTGTACCCGTGGTGTGAATGAGTGTTGGGTGGTCCTCAAATCACAATAGTTAAGAGGACTCCTGTAACCCTACGTTTGAGTTGTATCAACCAATAATAAACATGTTGTTCCTCATCCAAAAAATGTGGTTCTCATCAGTGATTCCGGTTGCATAACACATCATTTCATTAAAAAAAAAAAAACAACAAAAAACAGTTCATATCAAGCTGAACAGACAACAAATTGATACACTATTTATCCAGTTCCAGTAGCACTAACAAGGACTCCTTGGGACAAAAGTGTTTTCACATCAAAGATCTTATATTGTACAGTGATAAGCTGAATCTGTTCACACAGCCAGCATGGCTGAAGAATCTGTGGCCACTACAGAGGTTGTGCACTGTGGATGATCCCCTTCTCAAAAAGCAGTTCTGCCAAAGCAATCTGCAGAAAAAAAGAAAACCATAAGGATCAACTTAACAAGTTCACTTAATTTCACAAAGACACAGGCTCAAATATGAGTACATTAAATTAGTGTGTAAAACATCATGTGTAGACAGAAGTCCTTGGACTTAAGAGGAAAGAAAAATATTTCCTGTGTCCATTTCTAAAATATTGCATGTAAACTAGGGCTGCACGCTATTGTTGGAAAAACTGACATTGTGGTATTAGGTTTTTTTTTCTGCAAAATACATTGTGATAACAAGAAATAAAGGAAATCTAACTAGATGACTTGAATAACAAAAGAAAGAATGAACTATTCTAGACTGAAGTAATTTTGTAGGGGAGTATATCTGCATAGAAAAGAAAAGCTGTTTGGAACCTTTCTTAAAAGGTGTAGAACTGGCAACGGCATCAAACGAAAAGAATTTTTTGCTTTGGATGGCATTCAGATCTGGCTTTGCACTTGTCATACAGAGCTTAGTGCTGCTGATTTCAATGGTCAAAATTAGTTGAGTTGCTTTGTGTAATGTAATTGGATGACACTGCTCACTGAGAACCTGTCTTTGGTCAACATCATTCTTTCCGTAGCTGAAATATTTTCTTACAACACGTTTGATTTTTCTTGTTTTTTTTTCAGTGTTTCTTTCTCATTTTGCTATGCACACATCAACAAACTCAGTCTTTTAAATACTTTTTTTTTTTTAAAAACTCCCTTAAATAAGAGTACATAATGTTCTATCAGACAGACATGACAGACAGTCATGGAAAATGGAAACCATGCAAGTTTGTTTTTTGTATCAAGCAGCAAAAAAAAGTTGTAGCATATCCATCCATCCATTATCTATACACCGCTTCATCCTCACTAGGGTCGCGGGGGGGCTGGAGCCTATCCCAGCTGACTTAGGGCGAAGGCAGGGGACACCCTGGACAGGTCAAGTTGTAGAATATGTTGAGGTTATTTTCTTTCACAGTTCCAGTGTTGTGAGTATTATTCATACAAACATGGTGATGTGGATGCTGAAATAGTATACTGTGCACCCCTGGTGTATATGGTCACATGTAGGAGCCCTCCCCATCTGCCAGAATCCACAACCCTACAGAGACCTGACACAGTGAATGTAAAAACCTACCCTTTCCTGCACAGAATCACATGGGAGGCTTCCTACTGTCACAAAGTTGGGATACGAATGGACCAGAAACTCAATGGCATCTGTATGCTGAAAGAAAAAGCAATAGATCAATACCGTCTTTCAGAAACTGTGCTAAACGAGATTAGAAACTCAGATCCATAGATCTCTACCTCTGTTTTTATTTCAAAACTCTTGAGCTCCTCTTTGTGGTAAACTCGTGAGTTGTCTGTGGTGTAGTAAAGATGAACAGCATTTCCATCACTGCATAACCTGGCAAGGAGAGCACGCATAAGCCAAATCAAATGATTACATTTCTGCTTCAGCAGGTAACTCACAACATGCAGTTAAAGAAACTATTGATTCTACTAGTTTGTTACCTGGCACACCCTGCACAAAGAACTCTGACTTGGGTCTGGGTTGTAATTTGTAGATCCACATCCCTAACTCGTCCAGCCTCCCACCGAGTCGGTGCTCCTTTCACACTGCTGGCCAGTTCATCTGTGAGTGACGGTATGATTTTCTTAAAATAAAAGTAGTTTGTACGCCCAGCTGTCCTGTAATACAATAGTACAACATTCTCCTTTCCATCACATACCTGGAGTAAGCACAGGAGGCAGGCAGTCATGCAGGAAGTCTCTGGCTTTCTGATCGACAGCAGCATCGACTGGGGCGTAATTTGTTAGTTTCTTCATCAGACTCACAATTTGTGAGAAGAATTTTGCCCGGCGTGGGTCATCCTGTGCAAGAATAACTTTACTCATTAGTGGGTAATTGGTGACAAGTCAAACAATTGTGACCACAAATAAACAGTGAAGTAAGACCACTTTAATAATCACCTTGTCAGAGTTCTGTACTCCCATGTATGTCAGGTAGTCCAGAGGTAAACCCCGTCTGAATTCCACATCCTCCTCCATTGCGATCTCTAACGATGCTGGAACCAACTGAAAAAGGGCAGTGAAAATGTGAAGACCTTTTAGTAAAATATATATAAATGGTTAACTATTAAACAGTTAATGAAAATATGTAAATACAAGGTGAAGAAGCTAAGAAAGGCAGAGCTTGCGTACTGTATCATTTATCTACTAAACTGTTTTAATCCAGAATCAACACTCAATATTGTACACCAGAGATCATTAGTCCTGCCTTTCTCTTATTTTAAATTAGATTTGGTGTCACTGTATTTTGCAGCAGTGTGGTTTAACCACATGAATATTCAACAAATTAAAACGGTCAGTGAGCTAGTCACCATAAACTGGGATCTTATTCTTCACTTTGCTGTGCACAACCTGCAGATTATCAAACAGTAACATGGTGGCAGTTGTACCAAAATACTTTTTCCTGTAATCCTAAAGTCTGATAAGTTTTCCTTGGTTATGAAAACATGCGTTATCAGAGCTCAATAAGAAGAATTTCCTGTTCCTAAGACTGTAGTTACTGCAAATGCAGACACGGAATGTAGAACTGTGTGTGACTGAGAATTTTTCCGAGGACTGTGTTTAGACCAGCAAATGTAAAGGGACTTATAAAGTGGCTGTAGTAGAATAATCAGAACTAGAGTAGCATATAAGAAAAGGGTATTAGGTATTGTTATACTGCAACTGTGATGCATAAGCAAATCAATGTTTGATGTAAGAAATTACTTTTGCTAACTACATAGGTTTGTGATTACAGCCTTTGTCTTCATCTGCAGGCATATGACAGCGAGGATGAGAGTTTTTACCCTCTGCAGCAGATCCCCCCAGCTGTTCTTCTGGTAAGAGGAGATGGTGATGTGTAGAGAGTGTGCATCTGGTAGGCAGTTGCCCTGATGGATGAATCCCCGGGGAAAGTAGAGGAGATCCCCAGCTTCTAGCACCACATCCAGGATCGGCTTACCGATCTCCGCATCATTAAAGTTTGCTAAAGAACAAAAACAAAGTTTTAATATGTAAAAAAATATCTGCCAATATTCTAAATAAGTATTACAAGCAAACTGAGACAAATTTCTTTCACTGCAAAAAATAGTACAATAATAGAGATTTTACTCACGACTTGAAAGCACAGGCAAAACTTCATCATCTGTCCTAATATCCAGAAAACACACACAAAAAACGTTATGTTGTCGGTTCATCACACGCTAAAAATCAGCACTGGTTAATTGGTTGTGTATTATTCTACCAAAAAACATTAAGAAAAAAGAAAAACTAATTTTACATGGACTATTCAAAAAGCAGTATTCAGTAAATCATGGCCCACATATTGTAAACATGCTGCATTAAAAGAAAAAAAACAAACACAGATACGCAGGTTTACCAAGTCAAAACTTGCCTAAAAAAATACAATACCCATACTACAACAGTGTTAGATCCATTGAACTGAAAATTAAATGTGTAATAAATGAATAAAACTGTTTCTTTTTCTACTGGTAAATATAGCACAAGTGTGAACTCAAAATGGTGATGTTCTTTTGAAAGGCTCTCTGCTGTATTTCACCTTGGGTTGTACACTCGCCAGTGTTTCTTCCCCTCCAGCTGAACCACAAACGCCTCAATGTCGTCATAATGTGGAGCAAAGCCTTGTGTTCCAGGTGGTGTCAGGTATCTGGTTAAACAAAGCACACATTAACACTGAAAGAAAGAAGCTTCCTGTGAGAGATTTGTGTTACAAATACTTACACGTTGGCTCCTGCCATGCTGCCAAATTGCTCTTGGAGGATGGACAACACGTTCCACACTGTGGAGGAGAAAGCCTGAGGATTCAGCATGCGAAGGGAGCAGCCACTCTAGGAAATAGAGAAAGGATGATGACTACTAATCTGCAATACGACCAGTGTGCAGAGGGTGTACTGATACAGTTCATGCATCAAACAGGAAACGGCTCTATGCTTTCAGTACTGACATTTTTAAAATAATATTATGCATTGCTTAATACATAAATGTACATCTAACTTCTTCTTCTTCTTCTAGTAAATATGGCAAGGCTATTAAACTTAAATGACCCCACAGAAAAAGTGAATGCAGCTTATTTGGTACAATGGGCCCAAATATTGGAAACTGGTGATGTAGTCAGTGTAATCTGGCATTACAAACATCTGCTGTATCTGTCTGCAGCTCTGTGTCCTTACCTCATAGAAGTCCCACACAGTAAATGGCAAAGCCCTCCCTGGAGGATTATGCGTTTCTCTCTTGCCATTAGTGTAGCTTGTAACATCCAGGTTCACTCCATACTGAACATCCTCCTTAAATGAGAAAACACAAACATGTAGTGAAGGATCAAGATCTTGGTAATTTACCTTTTCATTAATTTTATTGACAGGCATTTATTCTTTCTCTATATAAATTAAAAAATAAGACCAAAATTCAAAGAACTCCTCTGAATAGTTCTTAGTCTGTACGGTTAGGGGTTTAAAAGAGGTGGTTTTCTGTGTTCACTGTTAATCATTCAGCAAAATCAAGCTTGGTCTGACTCATTCAGGTCAAAAAGACATTCCTTAAAGTGCCAAAAAGGCTACTGTTAGTAGGAGAGACCTGTCTCCTGATAAATACCACCATAGAGATTCTGGCATTCGTTTATCCAACCATTCTTCAAAAGTTTTAAATACCTGAATCCTGGATTTTTCTTGTGTTCTAATTTTTCCAAAATCTAACTTTCAAATTCACACACTGTGACACTTTACATAGTTACCTCTCTCAATATGCGATCAAACTCTGCAGTGGAGAACAGCCCCTTGTAGTAATCTGGATTCTTGCGCTGAACAAAGATGGGCTTCTTTTCCCATATGTCCCTTAGAAAAAAGGGGGGGGGACAATTATGCTGTAAGTAAATGTTCTAACAAAAAAAAATGACATGTGCTGCAGGGCTAGATAATATGTATTTTCCAGATTGGCTGTGTGCTTTGTTTTTAAACCATAAATTATTATCATTTGATGCTTATGGTACCCTGCACAGGATGCTGGGATAATTTGTACCTATAAACATATGTCAATCAACTACTTTTTTGGTTTACATTCAAGTACAAACATCCTGGGATTCCAATACAATTGATGCTTCTTATTTACTTTTTACATTTTTTTTTTCCCACTCAACATAGTTGTTAGTACCTGAAAAAGGACTTGGCAGGAATGGGGTTGATGAGCCACTGAAACAGCTTGCTTGCTCTCTCCCTGCTGTTGTTGAATTTGGCGAGGTCGGTCAGCACAGCATTCAGAAGCTCTCCATGTACAAACCCCACAGCCTCCTGCTTGGGAAACGGGATTATTACATTAGGCTTGGCTTCACAGAACAAGCTTTTTAGGTTCAGAAAAACAACATAATCAAAACATTAACGCTATTTTTACTTAAAGGGAAAAAACAATGTCGACGTTGTTTACATGACCTGATACACACACTTACATCAGTGTTTGCCTTAGGGCTTTCCTCTCTGTTTCCAACCTTTACAAGCTTCTTTCGCATCTTCTTTCTTTCAGCTTTCATTTGAGCTTTGAATTCGCTGACTTTAGCTGCTGTAGCTACATTGTCCTTTGTCTTTTTCTTCTTAGCTGCAACCTAGAAATAAATACAAACAAGTTTATGTCACCACAGTGTTCACGCAGAGTTTGGTCTAGAATGAAAGAGTGCAGAAGACTGTGCTGGTGTCAGTTCTGCTTCCTCTGTGGCTGCACACTGGAGCATCACAGCACAGATCCTGAGTCAGTGTGGAGCACATTATTGTAGAATGTCTACCTTCACCGAAGGCTTCTTAATAGGAGAAGGAAGGCCTGATGGCAGAGTTTGATATAAAGCGAAGGCTGACATGTGTTTTCTCTCCATTTTGCAGTCGTACGTCATCACATTGCGACAGCTACAGCCTCTTATTCTACATCTATTGTGTGCACATGAACTCACTATCGCCTCCTACAGAGTATAAAAAGAAAGAAGAAAACATACATACAAACAAGAAACGTGTACTTCAAGGAATTTGCAACTGTTATAGTTTGTCTTGATTATAAGCATAGAACCTTAATAACAAATATAAGTTGATTATTAAACATAAAAACAAGATGAAAATTTCTAAAACATAAATGTGTTTTATTTTAATGCGCAAATGTTAGTCATTTTCCCATTTGTTTTCTGTAAAGTTTTACATTTAAATGCCACTCTGGGAACTGAACTTCTCTTTGTGGTTCTTAAAGACGTTTCACCTCTCATCCAAGAGGTTTCCACAGCTCTCACTGAGCATTTTTAAGAACCAAAAAGAATTGCCACAACCTGGATGACTGAGAATCTAAACAGAGAATCTAATACAGTCATGTATTGGCATACACTGTATTCCATTTAGACAACTTTTTTGTTTGTATTCTTTCTTTCTTTCTTTCTTTCTTTCTTTCTTTCTTTCTTTCAATTAGGTGTCTATGTACACGAAGTAAGTGAGATTTAAACCATTTTAAAAATTCATTAAGTGAAAATAAGAAATGAAAAAAGCCTTATTTATTTCTTCCTTCCGTGTGCTTCAGAACAGAACAATAACTGAACAAAATACAATACAACAAAATACTATCAATATCAATGCTCATAGCAAACAAAATATTAAAAATGTAAAAACAAAAACAAATAGATTGTTAAATGTAGATGTTGAAGCTAATGATTATGTTATTATCAATTTGTCTGCCTATTGATTGCTTAAATAACTGATAAATTGTTTGGTCTATAAATACCAGATTTATTTTTCAATGGCCATGGTCTTTGTTTTGTTTTTTTTGTTTTGCTACTGTCATAGGTGACTAACAAAAAATGGAGCAGTAACAATAATAATATTATATGTTTAAAAAACAAACAATTAGACAATCATTAAATTAGTTGGGTTGAAACTAATCATCTCCTCGCTTCTGTTCTACATATATGAATTTAAAAAGTTGATAACAATTATTACATTCTCATCATTTCGTACAGCTGTTATAGATAAGATGCTATAACTAAATCAATAATGTTCCTGACCGACCATGTTTACGGTACACAGCGGCGGACTGGCCAGCAGGTGGAGCAGTTCCTCCATATTTCATGCGTTTGAATGGCTATCAACACAGTTTCCCACAATGCTTTGCTGCGTGCACTCTGCTGTTTGTCCAGCCGTCGCTTCAACAATGCAGCTTTTAATGGAGCTCTGAGAGGTACGAGGTGGAAACGCTGCAACACCGCAGGCTTGTCCGGACACTGTAGTCGTCAAAAATTCAACACAGCGACAATTGTACGGTTTGTCCAACCTTCCCGGCGCCTTGGACTCAGTTTTTAGGACATCCTTGACTCTCCTGCTGGGGTGAGTAGCCACTGAAGCTAACACTGGTCTGCCAGTGTAGCACAGAGCAAATGCATTTTGTTGTGACCACTACTGGCTAGCAGGCTAGCTAATTGGCCAGATGAGACGTATGGCTCGATGTGTCTTTTTCCTGCAATCCAGTGTCCATATTTAGTACAGTAGCTGTGTGTCCTCTCGTCCTCAGTACGTCTTAGGTGCAAAAATCTCTTACTGATCGGGATTTCAAACAGACGTGAAAGCAGTTCAGTGGGTTTGTGTAGCCGCTGCAAGTCGTGAGTCTGTTTCGCTTTGATCTCGGTTAAAGCACACGTCAATCCAGCCGGTGCAGTTGGCGCTTCGCCGTGATGTAGTCTGGACATGACTGCCGCGGTTGGCCCCGAAAATGCTTCGGGTCGAACCAGGCTGTAATATTTGTAGCCTTCTTTTGATCGTCCAACTCCAGCCCCCAGACCTGCTGCTCTCTAAGCGTCATGAGAAAGTCACGCCTCAGCCCGTTTAAAAAGCAGCCGATTTATTGTCGATGTGCTCACCGGCGAGCTGTGGAGGATATCTAATTGTAGCATGCAAAATAATTTCCTGAAGCTTCAGATGAACACATTTTGTGTAAAACATCAACTGCTCTACATTCTAGTGTAAGGACGAAAATGTCAGATATGAACAGCTTCACCAATGTGTTAATTACACTTCTTAAAATGGCATTACAAAAGTGATAAATTTAATAAATAAAGTATTAATAATGAGATAATAATAATAATTCCAACGAGAAAATAATAGGGCGTTTTGTGAACAATCTCTGACACTGAAACAGGTCAGTATTCTTGGCCCAGGAGTAGCCTCAGTATTGCAAACTCTACAGACAGTCAGAATCAGAAATATTTTATTGATCCATGAGGGGAATTTCTTAGTTACAGTTGCTCCCATTCAAGTCCGAAATATAAACAGTACAATATATATATATATATATAAATAAATGTAAGTACAAAACATGAACTAAAATATGAACATGAGTGGAAAAATATGTCCTAAAATATAAACATGAATAGAAAGTATAAGCATAACTGTAAAGTGTGTTTTTCCTAAGAAAATACGTTGAAGTAATAATAAAATATAAACTCTGTGTCAGATGTGTTGCATAATGTTTATCCTAAATTGCAGCCTTTGTGATTTTCTAATTGGATTAATTCATTTTAAGATTTGGTTGGAAATCGCAAAGCACACACTCTCAGACATGATCATTTATTCTGATTATGAAACTGTTAGGATTTACTTGGTGATGCACTGCTGTTAGTTTGTGCCACATTGCGGCCATCACATACGTTTTCATAAATGGCAGCTGTTTTGCGTCATTGAAACCTATGCTCAGCCGTGTCAGTCCTTTACGTCTTACTGTTTCTCTGCTGCTTTCTGTGCTCACGGGTACTGCTTTTTTTTAAAGAACCAAATTCCCAATAAGCTGATCACATTTACATATTTGTTTTGTTTCTGTTGTCAGACAACAGAACGAGTATGAAACAGTGACTTGAGTGCAGCCCATTAAGTCTACATGTTAGCAGTCACTTCAGAGCCATTTTCAGGTTGTGGCTCTACACTGCTAAACTACTGATTTTATAACTCCAACATTGTGTGATGAACTCACCATACCCATGAGCTAAAAACAACAACAACAATATTTCAATGTAAAATTATCTGTCAGAAAGTTAAAAGCAATAGAAAGTTCTGGTCTCATACACCCAGTCTTGACTGTGTCACCTGTCGTGCAGTCAACTGTTGCTCTGCACTGTCAATCACAGATGCATAGAGTCTTCTTCCTGTAGGAGGTGTGGACTGAAGCAGCTAAGCTGCGTTTGAAGCTAGAGACATCGAAACAGCCCACTAAGAACAGGACTAAAACCAGGGGTCATACAGTCATGGTGAAATAAACCATCTTTGCACTATGATGAGCTGAAGACATGCTCTGGGAATAAGTGACACTTTCATTGATTTGCTCAAAAGGAGCACAGGATTGGACCTTTAAAGTGTTATTGGACTAAGTTACTACCTTGCCCATTGCAGTCTTATTTATAGAAATATTAGACACAATTTACAATGTCCAAAAAACCCATAAAGTAGATCTGACATTTTTTTCCAGTGTTATTAAATTGAGTACATACCTAATGTCATTTGCATTGTAGAAATCAACCCATGATGGCACAATCCTCTGTAAGCAGTTTTCCCAACACTGAGAATAAAAGTTGAATATTGTGAGCGAACTCCTTGCTGTTCAGGAAGAACATCAGTATCTGCTACTAAGGCAAGGCCTGGGAACCTGAGGCTACTGCCAGGGACCATGCCTTTAAAGCATGTTTCAGTTACAAGAAGACCAGTTTTCACACATATTTCTCAGTCCAAAGATGACCAGTACATTAATTTACCAGAGCTGAATGGCCACAGCTGTGAGGTCAGTTAATTTGTGGCTGTAAAGAACTGCATGCTTCATCAGATCATGCCTTTTTGCATTTTTACTTGACAGGCAGAAGATTTTGTAGAACCAGTTAACAAATCATAGTGAGTTAAAGAGTAAAGTTTGATCATATCTGAAACATTGTTGCTGATGCAGTTTCCTGAATCTGATGATTCATAGGAAACCAAAAAGGGAAAAGCAAGGAGTGTGACACACAAAATACATGAACGTTCAGAATTTAGATTTCACATCACTGTCTGGATTGCTTGTTCTTCCCTCATTTTACAGCCGCTATTTATCAGTTTTACTGTTCTGTTTGTCACATATTGATAGATTTCAGAGTGAAATGCTTGTGTGATAGACAAAAGTGTTGACTGTAGCGTTTAGAGGTGAGTTCCCTGTTACTCAGCAACGACTGTTGTGTGTGAATGTATGACAGCATTTATTACAGATTGCTTTTTTGATTTGGGGGCATTCTTTCATCTCATTTCATCACATCGATTGTTTGTTCTATGTTGAAATATAAGCAACAGCAGTGTGTTGTTTTAGTGTATGTAAACTGAGAACTAAACAAAAAAGGTCCTTTTTTGTGATGATCAAAGATAAACTCAGAACAAAACTGAGACAGTCTCAGAGATTTCATCTTTAAGCAGCTGGGTAAAGTCAGGAAATATTACCAAGCAGCTGTTTGTATGATTTAAATTTTCCTCCTGTTCTGTTTCGATTGGAACGTAGTGAATTCATTAATATGGACTGTACAGGGCAGCTTGTGTTCCACTGTGGACAAGGACCTTCACTGCCACACTTTCTCTGAAGAATCCCCTTTTCTTGTGGTCACATACAGTAGCACTTACCATCCGCTGCAACCCAGAGCAATGGCCAAATCAACATTTCTTTATGGGAGAACATATTTGCGAATGAACATTCTGCCTCAATTCACTGAGTGCCCCACACAGAATTTTTTTTCATCTGGAGTTTTCTTCACTCCAATCTGTGGAGTGATGTTTGAAGTGCCATAGTTCAAGAAATAATGTCGCGAGAGTCTTAACATTTTTTAGGCTCGTTGACATGTACGTGTGGTCTTCAATGGTACAACCCTGCTTTAATAGACTAATACAGAGCTGTTATGGGATGGTTCAGATTTGTTCAAAAAATGTCCATGTTATAATATTCTACCAACCATGAAACCTTTATTTTTTACCCTAAGAGGCTGATGTTTTTTCCTGCGATTGGCACCAACAGGAGCTTTAAGATGTAGAGTCTGGTGCCAGTCAGAGGCATACTTTATGGGGAAAAAAAGTGATTAAAAATATAAATTTTTTTGCATTTATGGCCACTATTAAGACAGTCATTGAGCAGGAGAAGCACAGCCAATGTAATCTAACATTGAAATCATTTGAATTCTGTTCAGGTGTCCCATCTCCAGACCTTTAGTTGCATGCAGAGGCTGGCTCACTCGCTTGGCTCACCAGCTTGGCTCACCGAGACTCTTCATCAACATTACTGATAATAGTTGCACCTGTGCTTGTCCTCTCTGCTGTCACAAGCCAAAATGCCTGCTGTGAAAAGACCAAGTATGGTTCCAAAAGTTGAGGGGTTTTCTGGCCATATATCATAAAGCTGCTGTTTTACTTAAAGGTCCCAAATTGTAGAGACGGAGATTTTGTCTTTTTTGATCATACAGCAGGTCTAACTTTGATATAAATACTGTGAAAGTATAAAATGCTCAAACCGTGGAGAAATGCGCATAGATTGTGTTCAGACCATGTGCCTATAAATGAGCTGCAGGGACTTCCATACGGTTGTGATGTCAAAACTGTGTGCCCCTACAAGTCATCCTGCACTCTCAGGATCTGGGGAACTGAGGACACTGTGGATTACTTTTATTTTTGATTGCAAAGTCCCCCCTGTAAAAGCTCCTTTCAGAGATGGGACATGGGACATTGCTGGATTCAATTCAATTCGTTGAAGTGACAGCATTCTGTCATTTAAGCCTCTATAATATAAGTCAGTTTTCCGTTATTGTTCCTTACAAAAGCATTCACGCATACCACCCACAGTGCTGGAGAGCACGCGATAATTGTCATTCAGTGTCAGTGTCCAAATCACTAACAGCCCAGTTTATCTTTGATTTCTTAAACAGTAAAACTGAAAGCTCAGGACTGAGGTAAGGATGGTCACGATGTAAAAGATATTTACCTGCAGCTAATAAACAGTTCACCTGTCTGAGGTGAAGAAAAGCTCAAAGTGTGACCTGCTGTTAGATCCTGGTCAGGACTAATCTGTTCTCAGGGGTAATTAATAATTCTAACTATTTAGTTAGTTACTGGCACTGTTGTTCAGCGTGCAAATGTGTACAACTCTCTTTCTTTGGAGACGCATATATGGATCCTGGAACAGCTGGAAGAAACAAACTTTAGCTCCTCTTAGCATCTTGTGAGGGGAAAAAAAGACTCGTATGACGTTCTTTAGTGGTGAACCTCATTAATCATTAAGCTGTTAGTGTCTGTTTTCATCACAATAAGGTCTATACATTAATGTGAAGCTTCAGTCAGACTTG